ATATATATATATATATATATATATACACACACACATTCAATGGATAACTTAGAAAACAAGCACAAGCTATTCTAGGAAATAAATCCCCGAGATTAAAGGATTGATACGCTAGTAATAAACCAAGATATAGTCCATATACAAAATTAAAACCAATAGGAATAAAATCTGAAACTTTCTAAATATCTTGACGGAATAAATATAAAGCCTCTTAAAATATCTTGACATGGTACATATAGAACTTTACCATCTATTTACTTGGGCATAATATGTTGAAATCTATTTTGAGCAATACTAATAATTGATTTATTATTACAAAAGAGAGTCACAGATTCTTCATTTCACTTTAATATTATTCAACTATAACAATTCACATACCCCTTGTTCCATAACTCAAAAATTTTTCCTCCAAACTAAACCTTCCACTCAAGAGTATGAAATATCCTGAGGTAGACCTCCAATCAATAACAAACTAAACACAGTTTGCATCAATATACATCTCTATTTCATTTTCCATTTATCTTGATCAACAATTCCCTTCATGGACTTGCCTTCAAATATTGAGGATTCTATTCAAAGCCTGAAAATGTCATTCTCTTGGATCATGATGAATTAATTAACCACACTCACAATATAAGCTATGTCTAATCTAGTGTGAGCTAAATAAGTAAGCTTCCCTACAAGTCTCTGATATTGGCCTTTATTCACTACAAAACTATCTTCGTCGCTCTCAGTTCTATTTTTGTTCTACATGAGATCTGGTGGCCTTGCAATCAATCTTACTCGTTTCTATGAGCAGGCCTAAAACATATTTCCTTTGGAAGATAGAGATGCCCCTTTTAGAGTAGGAAACTTCTATTCCAAGGAAGAACTTCATGTTTTGTAGATCCTTCTCGAATTGAGCAACAAACTTTTCTTTCAAGATTAGTTTATTATGTTCATCATCCCTTGCAACAGTCATGTCATCCACATAAACCAAGAGAAGAGTAAGTTTCCCTTCAAAAGAATGTTTGATAGATAGGGTATGGTCACCTTGACATCAATGGCATCACAAGGAAATCATAATTTGAGTTAGTCTAGCAAACCAAGCATGGGTGAGTGTTTTGAGTCCATACAAGGCTTTCTTCAACATAAACACCTTATTCCTCTCTTCAATAGACCCAAAGTCATGTGGGATCTCCATATCAACTTCTTCTAGATGCCCATGCAAAAAGACATATTTCATATCAAACCATTATAGATCCCAACTAAAGTGTGTTGCCAACAAGACAATGATTCTAACCTTATTCATCTATGCCACATAGAAGTGGCTCCTAACCAAAGTGTGTTGCCAACAAGATGATGATTCTAACCTTATTCATCTATGCCTTAAAAGAAAATGCTTCCTCTTAATCAACATTATAGCTTTGAGTATATCTTTTTCCAATTGAGCTTGCTTTGTAATGATCTAATGTGTCATCAGACCAATATTTAACAATGTAGATCCACCTACGTTCTACAACCTTTTTATCTTGTGACCAGTCAACAATCTCCAAAGTCTGATTCTTTTCTATGATACTCATCTCTTCATTTATGACTTAAATCTAATTCTTATCCTTTACTGCCTCTAGAACTGATGTAGGAACTCTAAATACACGAATGCCAAAGAGAAAAATTTGGTGTTGCACACAAAGATGCTTAGTGGACACAAATTGACCGTTTTCCTTTTCTCAAGGCAACAGGCACATCATTAAGATTGGGCTCAGTTACTATTCAAGGAATTTTCTAGAGGTTCATGAGTATAAATACTTACATCCGGATCAGAAGAGTGGAGCTGTTCTTGGACTAGTGTAGGATCCTCCCGTCTCCATTGATATATTGTATACGAAAGAGACTCTTTGTATCACTAATATCTAGTATTGATCCTGGCTTAGAAACAAAATTGCCCTCATAAAAACAGCCTTGCAGGATGTATCAATGATAATAAAAATATGAGAAGATCCCTAAACTAAATGAACAAAGGACGTCTCAAGTGACTCAAAAGGCTCAACTTCTATAGAATTCCCCCCTGAAGTTGAGAATGCATGTAGAAAGATTCAACTTCATAAAATGTGACATCCATTGTTAGGTAGTGGGTTTGGAACCTAACAAGAACACACTCAAAAGATAGAAAGAACAATGAAAGAATGGGTTTTTGTATTGATATTGTGAACAAAGTACACTGATAGCACTAATGGAGGCCTAATCCCCCTCTTAGCCCTAACAGAGGCATAATCCCCCTCTTCTGGCCAAAGTCCAGATTTACAAAATAATACTCAAAAACTCTCCTCTAACAATGAATAGAACTCTATTTATATAAGATCTCTCATCCCGCCATTCCTAACAGCTCTCTCATTTTCCCGCCTTTCTTAACTGCTCTCTCATTTCCTCTTCCTTCTATCCTCTTACCTTAGATCCTATCATCCATGGAGGTATAATTTCTGACTCAGAGCATGGTAACAAAGATAAACCTTTTTTACCAAAAACATAACCAATGAATATATACTTAATGACTTTAGGATTTAGTTTCCCAGGAAACTATGTGAAAATGGACAAACGCAACACACCCAAAAACAAGAGTTTGAAGGCTACACAAAATGAACAAATAGAAAGAAAGATGATATAGATTAAACAAGACTAAAACCATTCAGAACACACATGGGTAATTTGTTAATGAGGCAGGCAGCTATAGCCTGCCCCTAATAAGACTTAAGGATAGGCACTTCGAAAAGAATGACCCAAGTCACGTCAAGGAGGTGCCTATCTTTTCTTTCAAAAATATCATTTTGTTGTGTATCCACACATTTTCTTTCATGAACAACATCATTTTCAAAAAGAACATGTCATGGTTTTACATGTTCCCTCCCATAATCAATATGCACACATTTAACTGACTTCCCAAATCATGTGTGTATCATACAAAAACGTTTTATAAATAAAGAAAAAATTTCAAAATTTTCTTTCATGAGGAAAATCCGTGTGTTATGAGTAAAATCATCAATAAAAGAGAAGAATCATTTAGCATTTGGTAATACTAGAATTTGACGCAAGACCCATATATCAGAGTGAATTAATTCAAAAGAAATCAACACTTTTTATTACAAGGAGAATGTGGCAAAATGCTGTTTTGCTCCCTGACACACATAACACTTAAATGATTCAACAAACTCTTTTGAAAATAAAGGAAACATAGACCTAAGAACATAAAATGACTAATGTCTAGGACAACAATGGAGAAAACTCCAAAGTAGTGAAAGACTAGAGACAAGAGATAAGTTACGAATGAAATAAAAAGTTGCATCTTTTATAATCTGATTGATCCCAAAAGTCTGTTGGGGCCACTATCTCAATGTGCTTGATAATTTGGATTACAACTATTTAGAGGAAAAATTATTAGAAATTTGCTACACAAACCCATTTGTTTCCAGCTACAAGGCCTAACTAGCATCAGAACAATGACTAAATAGTGTATTGAAGTACAATAACCAAAAAGGAAGCATCCAGTAACACAACACTAAAGTTGCACCTTGGTCACTGGTTGTTAATGAACTTGAATCCAGAAAAATACTATTCGTATGCAAGGGGAAGATTGTACACAATGACTCTCCTTCAAACCTTCACAAACTGAGGAACCTTAGGCTCACCCGATTAGACTAGTTTAGTTTTATTTCCGGTGAGGCAGGTCTAAAACAACTATACTATGTAATCCAAAGCTCTTCATGCATCATATAGCTCACAAAACAGATAAAATCACCTTTCCAGGTCAAAAAGTGTGCCCTCCTCAGTTCCTTGAAATAATTCATCAATTGAAGAGGATGCCAAACAACATAGGCAGCAATGATGATTGTATAACTCATCAATAAGGGTAATAAATCTCCGTGCCTGAAATGTAGATTTCTTTTTCTCAGAACAGAACACCGATAGCAGAGACAAGTGTTTTGTAAATAAATGCAAAGTGTGAAAAATAAGACTGATTTATTATTCTCAATCATAAAAAATACATTCTGATACTCTCTATTTGTAATAATCTAATTCTCCTAAAAAGGGAAATAGGAAAACTAGGAAAGTAAAATAAAGGAAAATAGAAAAACTAGGAAAGTAAAATAAAATAAAAGATTATATATCTATTTCCTCTAATTAGGAAGATTCTAAAGATATTATCTATCTTTTAATAAAGATATTATCTCAAATTACAACACAAAGGATAATAGAAAAAAAATTAAGCAATGTACTTGAGGAATATCTTTAAAAATATACTGATGCAGAATAAGAAAGCCAGTTTCTGATAATATTTTGCAGTAGTAAATTAGGCAATTACCACTACATTGGGGCTAACTAACTTATCTGTACTGATAATACCTTGTCACGGATGCGCATACTCATTACTGGAATATCAGATATGAACACAGTGTGAAAGTTTTCGGCAACTGCAATATAATCTGCTGCACCCAACTGAAAGTAAAAATAATTAGAGAGAGAGCATATGATGTGCACTTGCTTGCATATGAAAAATCACACTGAAGAATTAAAATCATGATGATTTGAATCCAAGCCAAATAGTAATTGAGGAGAAAGGGAATAACAACAAAGCTTAGGATTTGTACAATCATTAAGGTCTTCACAACCAACCACCTAAACATCAACCCATGGTGGTATTTTGGGTACCCTTTCTCCAACTAGATTTCCACTCAACTTAGCCTTTCCCTCCTTTCCTACTTCAGGTTAAACATTCCTAACTCAAAAACTTAGAAGGCTAATTTGTTTATTATTAAAGAGTTATAGAAAAATTATGCTAGAGATCCCACATCGACTATAAAAATATGACCAAATTATAATTTATAAGTAGATGCAAACCCCACCTTACAAGTTGGACTTATCATAGTAACGTTTGTTGGGTCTATCGTGTCACTCACTATTCGACCATCCACAAATATTTAGTCTAGCTCGAGATGTCTAGGTTTCGGTGTGAGGGAATGTGGTTAAGTTAAGTTTAAAGTTTATTTTAAAAATTTCAATTGTTTACTGCTATAAATATAACTAATTCTATGTTGTAATCAGAGTAGGAATATGCTGTAAATACCTGTATTTCCATAGTTTAAGAAATCCCTAAATTGTGGGATCAATTTTCAAATATTTTCAATAACGAATCAGGGTTGAGAGGATACCTTTGAAGCACTTCTAAACAGTTTTGGATTTCAAGTCTTACCTTATTATCANTCATGGACTTGCCTTCAAATATTGAGGATTCTATTCAAAGCCTGAAAATGTCATTCTCTTGGATCATGATGAATTAATTAACCACACTCACAATATAAGCTATGTCTAATCTAGTGTGAGCTAAATAAGTAAGCTTCCCTACAAGTCTCTGATATTGGCCTTTATTCACTACAAAACTATCTTCGTCGCTCTCAGTTCTATTTTTGTTCTACATGAGATCTGGTGGCCTTGCAATCAATCTTACTCGTTTCTATGAGCAGGCCTAAAACATATTTCCTTTGGAAGATAGAGATGCCCCTTTTAGAGTAGGAAACTTCTATTCCAAGGAAGAACTTCATGTTTTGTAGATCCTTCTCGAATTGAGCAACAAACTTTTCTTTCAAGATTAGTTTATTATGTTCATCATCCCTTGCAACAGTCATGTCATCCACATAAACCAAGAGAAGAGTAAGTTTCCCTTCAAAAGAATGTTTGATAGATAGGGTATGGTCACCTTGACATCAATGGCATCACAAGGAAATCATAATTTGAGTTAGTCTAGCAAACCAAGCATGGGTGAGTGTTTTGAGTCCATACAAGGCTTTCTTCAACATAAACACCTTATTCCTCTCTTCAATAGACCCAAAGTCATGTGGGATCTCCATATCAACTTCTTCTAGATGCCCATGCAAAAAGACATATTTCATATCAAACCATTATAGATCCCAACTAAAGTGTGTTGCCAACAAGACAATGATTCTAACCTTATTCATCTATGCCACATAGAAGTGGCTCCTAACCAAAGTGTGTTGCCAACAAGATGATGATTCTAACCTTATTCATCTATGCCTTACAAGAAAATGCTTCCTCTTAATCAACATTATAGCTTTGAGTATATCTTTTTCCAATTGAGCTTGCTTTGTAATGATCTAATGTGTCATCAGACCAATATTTAACAATGTAGATCCACCTACGTTCTACAACCTTTTTATCTTGTGACCAGTCAACAATCTCCAAAGTCTGATTCTTTTCTATGATACTCATCTCTTCATTTATGACTTAAATCTAATTCTTATCCTTTACTGCCTCTAGTACTGATGTAGGAACTCTAAATACACGAATGCCAAAGAGAAAAATTTGGTGTTGCACACAAAGATGCTTAGTGGACACAAATTGACCGTTTTCCTTTTCTCAAGGCAACAGGCACATCATTAAGATTGGGCTCAGTTACTATTCAAGGAATTTTCTAGAGGTTCATGAGTATAAATACTTACATCCGGATCAGAAGAGTGGAGCTGTTCTTGGACTAGTGTAGGATCCTCCCGTCTCCATTGATATATTGTATACGAAAGAGACTCTTTGTATCACTAATATCTAGTATTGATCCTGGCTTAGAAACAAAATTGCCCTCATAAAAACAGCCTTGCAGGATGTATCAATGATAATAAAAATATGAGAAGATCCCTAAACTAAATGAACAAAGGACGTCTCAAGTGACTCAAAAGGCTCAACTTCTATAGAATTCCCCCCTGAAGTTGAGAATGCATGTAGAAAGATTCAACTTCATAAAATGTGACATCCATTGTTAGGTAGTGGGTTTGGAACCTAACAAGAACACACTCAAAAGATAGAAAGAACAATGAAAGAATGGGTTTTTGTATTGATATTGTGAACAAAGTACACTGATAGCACTAATGGAGGCCTAATCCCCCTCTTAGCCCTAACAGAGGCATAATCCCCCTCTTCTGGCCAAAGTCCAGATTTACAAAATAATACTCAAAAGCTCTCCTCTAACAATGAATAGAACTCTATTTATATAAGATCTCTCATCCCGCCCTTCCTAACCGCTCTCTCATTTTCCCGCCTTTCTTAACTGCTCTCTCATTTCCTCTTCCTTCTATCCTCTTACCTTAGATCCTATCATCCATGGAGGTATAATTTCTGACTCAGAGCATGGTAACAAAGATAAACCTTTTTTACCAAAAACATAACCAATGAATATATACTTAATGACTTTAGGATTTAGTTTCCCAGGAAACTATGTGAAAATGGACAAACGCAACACACCCAAAAACAAGAGTTTGAAGGCTACACAAAATGAACAAATAGAAAGAAAGATGATATAGATTAAACAAGACTAAAACCATTCAGAACACACATGGGTAATTTGTTAATGAGGCAGGCAGCTATAGCCTGCCCCTAATAAGACTTAAGGATAGGCACTTCGAAAAGAATGACCCAAGTCACGTCAAGGAGGTGCCTATCTTTTCTTTCAAAAATATCATTTTGTTGTGTATCCACACATTTTCTTTCATGAACAACATCATTTTCAAAAAGAACATGTCATGGTTTTACATGTTCCCTCCCATAATCAATATGCACACATTTAACTGACTTCCCAAATCATGTGTGTATCATACAAAAACGTTTTATAAATAAAGAAAAATTTTCAAAATTTTCTTTCATGAGGAAAATCCGTGTGTTATGAGTAAAATCATCAATAAAAGAGACGAATCATTTAGCATTTGGTAATACTAGAATTTGACGCAAGACCCATATATCAGAGTGAATTAATTCAAAAGAAATCAACACTTTTTATTACAAGGAGAATGTGGCACAATGCTGTTTTGCTCCCTGACACACATAACACTTAAATGATTCAACAAACTCTTTTGAAAATAAAGGAAACATAGACCTAAGAACATAAAATGACTAATGTCTAGGACAACAATGGAGAAAACTCCAAAGTAGTGAAAGACTAGAGACAAGAGATAAGTTACGAATGAAATAAAAAGTTGCATCTTTTATAATCTGATTGATCCCAAAAGTCTGTTGGGGCCACTATCTCAATGTGCTTGATAATTTGGATTACAACTATTTAGAGGAAAAATTATTAGAAATTTGCTACACAAACCCATTTGTTTCCAGCTACAAGGCCTAACTAGCATCAGAACAATGACTAAATAGTGTATTGAAGTACAATAACCAAAAAGGAAGCATCCAGTAACACAACACTAAAGTTGCACCTTGGTCACTGGTTGTTAATGAACTTGAATCCAGAAAAATACTATTCGTATGCAAGGGGAAGATTGTACACAATGACTCTCCTTCATACCTTCACAAACTGAGGAACCTTAGGCTCACCCGATTAGACTAGTTTAGTTTTATTTCCGGTGAGGCAGGTCTAAAACAACTATACTATGTAATCCAAAGCTCTTCATGCATCATATAGCTCACAAAACAGATAAAATCACCTTTCCAGGTCAAAAAGTGTGCCCTCCTCAGTTCCTTGAAATAATTCATCAATTGAAGAGGATGCCAAACAACATAGGCAGCAATGATGATTGTATAACTCATCAATAAGGGTAATAAATCTCCGTGCCTGAAATGTAGATTTCTTTTTCTCAGAACAGAACACCGATAGCAGAGACAAGTGTTTTGTAAATAAATGCAAAGTGTGAAAAATAAGACTGATTTATTATTCTCAATCATAAAAAATACATTCTGATACTCTCTATTTGTAATAATCTAATTCTCCTAAAAAGGGAAATAGGAAAACTAGGAAAGTAAAATAAAGGAAAATAGAAAAACTAGGAAAGTAAAATAAAATAAAAGATTATATATCTATTTCCTCTAATTAGGAAGATTCTAAAGATATTATCTATCTTTTAATAAAGATATTATCTCAAATTACAACACAAAGGATAATAGAAAAAAAATTAAGCAATGTACTTGAGGAATATCTTTAAAAATATACTGATGCAGAATAAGAAAGCCAGTTTCTGATAATATTTTGCAGTAGTAAATTAGGCAATTACCACTACATTGGGGCTAACTAACTTATCTGTACTGATAATACCTTGTCACGGATGCGCATACTCATTACTGGAATATCAGATATGAACACAGTGTGAAAGTTTTCGGCAACTGCAATATAATCTGCTGCACCCAACTGAAAGTAAAAATAATTAGAGAGAGAGCATATGATGTGCACTTGCTTGCATATGAAAAATCACACTGAAGAATTAAAATCATGATGATTTGAATCCAAGCCAAATAGTAATTGAGGAGAAAGGGAATAACAACAAAGCTTAGGATTTGTACAATCATTAAGGTCTTCACAACCAACCACCTAAACATCAACCCATGGTGGTATTTTGGGTACCCTTTCTCCAACTAGATTTCCACTCAACTTAGCCTTTCCCTCCTTTCCTACTTCAGGTTAAACATTCCTAACTCAAAAACTTAGAAGGCTAATTTGTTTATTATTAAAGAGTTATAGAAAAATTATGCTAGAGATCCCACATCGACTATAAAAATATGACCAAATTATAATTTATAAGTAGATGCAAACACCACCTTACAAGTTGGACTTATCATAGTAACGTTTGTTGGGTCTATCGTGTCACTCACTATTCGACCATCCACAAATATTTAGTCTAGCTCGAGATGTCTAGGTTTCGGTGTGAGGGAATGTGGTTAAGTTAAGTTTAAAGTTTATTTTAAAAATTTCAATTGTTTACTGCTATAAATATAACTAATTCTATGTTGTAATCAGAGTAGGAATATGCTGTAAATACCTGTATTTCCATAGTTTAAGAAATCCCTAAATTGTGGGATCAATTTTCAAATATTTTCAATAACGAATCAGGGTTGAGAGGATACCTTTGAAGCACTTCTAAACAGTTTTGGATTTCAAGTCTTACCTTATTATCAAAGGTTTTACATGATTCCAAATTTGTACTCTAATACTCTAATACCTCACTATCCTTGAGGCAATAGTAGTTACAAAGGTCACCAAAACAATAATAAACATCAGAAGGCAAAGAATTAATTCAAATGTTCCCCTATACGTGTGAAGTATGAACTAACTCTTGTAAGTTGTTCTTACCCATTTGGGCCATGAACAGTTTAATGAAACACATAATATCAACTTGCCATTTAAGAAAAATAAATAAAAGTAAACCTCACAATAATATTCAAAGGCTTAATGACTTTTATGGTCCTACTATTTATTTATTTTGTTCAATCTCATCCCACTATTAATAAATGAATCAAACTGGTCCCTTATTTTTTAAATCAAATACAGTTTGTTCTCTTCTATCCAAATTGACTTAAAATTTTGATGTTAATTAACAGCAACCGTTACTATCACTAAAAGGTTGTCACTAATTAGTGCCAATGGTTCTTTTTAGCGACACTGTCATGAACCGAGACTAATAGTGGTAAGTCAATTTAGACAAAGGTACAAAGTTGGTTCAATTTTAAGAAAACAAAGGACCAAATTATGTCCACTTGAAGTCAAAGAAACATATTAAACCATCTATTAATAGTGAGACAAAATTGAATACAATAAATAACAAGACCAAAAAGGCAATTAAGCCTGTTTGCATTAGTTGGAAAAGTACTTTAGAAAACAGCCAAACTAAGAAATAATGTACCGGACGACCACAAAGATATTCAAATGTAAAGCGCGCAACTCCATCAAAGCTTTTGGGAACCTCAAGTGTCCTGGGATTGAACGAAATTATACTGTCAATGTTTATTATTCATCTCATTTAACAGAATTAAATTTCCAAAGGGTACCTTCCAAACATCACTGAGATGGTGGTGTTGGAAACTATTCTTCCTCCCAATCTGCTTGTTACATCATGCCACTTTTTCTCAAATTCATTGGTTGCTTCCTTTCCAATAGGCCAGAAAAAGTGCACCTACGTATCAATAGCCATTAAAATTCCAATATGTTCCAATTTCAAATTGCATAATAAGATTACCCAACTATTGTGATTACATAATGGTACATATCCACCAATCCTAATTATTATGGCTTTTAACTGTGCCAAATGGCGTTGTGAGATGATTACATTATGATCCAAAGCTGACCGAACAAGACTTTGATGTTGTTCTTGTACATAATTTCTAATGATGAAGATACACAAAATTAAGGAAATTATAGGTTGATAAAGCTCATGATCCATACCATAAAGTTACGGTAAAGGGTAGCTAAACAAAATCTAAGAGATCCACACAACTAAATAACAGTCTGGTTTTATGCTGGGCAGGTTGACCATAAATTTCTATAACATTGGATTGACCCATATATGATTAGTTAAAAAGACTTACATGTGACTTTTTTAAAAATTGTAAGAATTTATGTATAGAGGGAAAAAGAGAGATAAAAGAAAATGTATTTGAGATGTAATATTACGTCATGTATAGATGTATTTGTTCTAAAAACCTAAAACACTGACTGCGTTTGTGCTAATCATATTCCTAAATAATTAGGAAAAGACTTGGTTGTTGTTGTTGTTGCTAGATTACCCTTCCTCTACTATGAAAGAAATTGCAGCACATTTTGATAGGATATAATATGATAGGTTATAATGGGTAATAGGTGTGCAGGAGAGAGAAAACAGTTTAGGAATTAATTGTTCAGTTTAGGAATTAATTGTTGTTGGGTAGTTAGAAGTGGGTTGCCTTCATAAGAAGGCAAGGGGGGTCTGGTAGAGGGGACAGTTTTTTATATCAATTGTATAGACAGGAACCTTGATCCTGTGGAGGGGATTATGCTCCCATTTACTGGTTGTACATGACATTGGTTGATGTGAATACATATTTTCATTCTTTTCTTACCATTTGGGTGCTATTGTATAAGTGTGTGCTGTGAGACAGTTAGGTTTCATACCCAGAAACCAAACACATTTGCAGTTATTTTTTCATAATTGAGACAGGTTCAGAAAAAAAAAAACTTCAATTCTCACCTGGTTTTCTGATTTTTGTGCTAAAAAACGACGGTAGTCAATTTCGCTCCCTATCAATACCTTCTCACAATGGTCTTCCAATTTGGAGACAAGTTTCCGAAATATTTCTTTTTGCATACCAGCCTGCACAAAATCAAGAGTGAGAACTTGTTTCAATTTTTTCTATGATGAAAGGGGATCTAATTCTTCTGAAACAGAAAATTATAGGCCATGTCATTGGTGTAGTTATTGACTCTAACACAATTAAAAACTGGTTAAAATGATAGCAGGTACTGTGAAAGATTGACTACTAAAGAAAACACCTCATTTAAGTCGCTTGGTGCTCGATTACTGGTAGCCACAATTATAGTTCCACTGCTCAGCAATCTGCTTAGAATTCCAGATAAAGCCACAATAGCAAATACATCAACAGTCTGAAATATAGAGTACCAAAACTTAGTCATATTCTACACTAAAAGATATAGAATGAAGAAATAAATCATTGCAGTACAGAGCTAGCTCAACAATCATGCTACGAATGAGTCAAAAAGAAACAGAAAAATTGGTTCAACTCCATCTAAAAACAGTGGTGCCTCAATGCCATCAGAGTTTTCACTAGATACTATGAAACAAAATTGAAGTATACATACAGATAGGGGAAATATTTCTAGGCAAGCAATCCATAAAGATCGCACATCAGAAAATAGAGCATGCTTGGGGAGAATGCTTCAAACCATAAAAGGAAGCTTACACACAAGCCGAGAATCACCCAAGTAAA